ATGCCTGGCACATAGTCATTCAATAAATGTATTTCCCTGTTCAATTAAAAATTAAGTATTTCTTTTAGAAATTAAATGTTTTAAGAAATTATATATATACTGCCTTGACACAAAATTTGGCTCTTCTACCACCTTTGTTAGAGAAAATTTGAACTATTTTTTTTCCCAGAAATTAAAACTAAGGAGAAATCATTTCCATGTCACTTAAAAAACTCTCCTTAAAATTATCTATGAGTCCCCCAAACTACGCTAATCTTCTTAATTATAAAGTAGACTTTGTTGATTCCCTGCTCTTCCTCCAGGGAGGAATCCTCAGCCCCAATCAACACAGCAAATTGCGGCGTGGCATGACTCAGGAGAAAATGGTGGTGGGGCTAATCAAATGCCTTCACAGGAAAGAAAAGAATTTTAAAAGTAACTCTCAGGAAATCTCCATATCTTCATGAGCTAAAAATGCTCAAAGAAAGTAAATGGGTTTCAGAAATTATTGAAGTGAAAGGCACATCTAAAAAATGAATGAATAATAAGGAAATTCAATAGCCACAGGTTAGTTCTAAAGGCCAAATGGAATCAATAACTGGAGACCTGGTTATAGATTAGAATTGAGTCCTAGTAAGATTTAAGACTTCTGTTTTCAGTCTCTAAAAATGTGGCAAAACAGTACACCTGTATAAGGTACAATCAGGTAGTGTTTTTCTTAGGCATGTACATAGTTTTTTCTAGTTTTTAAATTCTCAAGAAATAAGGATAATGCAGTATGGGAGAACTGCCCAGAGTATCTAAGTTAGGTGGGAGATTATGGAGAAAGACTAAGGGAAAAACATCAGACGTTACTCACTAAGTCTGCGTAAGTTTATGGCAGTCCCTAAAGATACAAAGAGCTGGCAGGACCACATGGAGAAAAAGTACATTTTGACCTTCTTTTCCACATATCTCCGGTATCATCCACAGAAACAAGCTTGTCTTTTGTTCCACACTCAATCAATTACTCTATTCTATATGAGAAGAAAACTCATGAAAGTTTTCCAATTATCCTAAGATAATGGAAAAGAACTATCAATTTAAAAAATATTTTTTTAAAAAAAGGTGATGGAAAGTTGGACTTCTGATGCCTCCAAATTTCTTCTATTTCGTTCAGTGTTCTTTTCATTCCTAAAGTCTCTGTTCTGAATGAAATCTTCAGGCCATATAGATTAGGAATGTAATTCCCAGCAAAGCATTCATTATCTTGAAATTCTAATCAAACAATTAAGATGATTCACGGACTTCTCATTAGAATGAGATTATACTGAGTTTGGGGCTTAAGCATGTACCCGGCCAGGCCAGAAGGATGACCACAACTCCCTAGACAATATACAGAGACATGTGGTTGATGTTCAGTTTTGAAATACACTAAAAATGTTCTCTATGGCTCAGAGCTGAAATACTTCCAACCTTGGTAATATTCATATCCAGAAATCCTTGCACAGTCTCAAATATGTGAGTACTTCCAACCTTGGTAATATTCATATCCAGAAATCCTTGCACAGTCTCAAATATGTGAGTTCTTATGAGGTTGCATGTATTTGGGTTTGTTTTTGCATTTGGAGTTTGTTCTTCTGTTTGTTTGTTATAGTTTACTTGCATCCATCAGAGAAAATTTGATCGAAAAGATCTAAGTGGCTCCAGGGCTTACTAAACAGTGCAGTGAAACGCTGTTAACATAATTTCTCAAATGAATATATTGATTTTTTTAATTGAAAGAGCAAAGAAATGAATAAATGAAACGATAGAAAAAACAAACAGAAGAGTTGGATTTGGAAATTAAGACTGCTACCTAAATACATGTGGAAGTGGCAACATATATTTTTTATTTGTCAAAACATTTTTTAGGCATGCACAGTTCCATGTTTATAGTTTGTTCATTTAAAAATCTACCTATAAAAACATGATTTCTGAAAATCTGTAGGTTTACTTGAAGGTTTTTTTGATGTCACTTTACAAGGAATAGTTTACTTAATTTTGATATTTAAAATGCCTTAATTATGTTATAATATAGGCACAGCTATAATTATGTTCCTAAATAATATTTACTTCTCATGATAAGCAAAATATTTTAAGAATATTCTTTAATAGACAAAAGGGAAAAATTTAATTAGCAAGATACGCTCGCAGTATTTTCCTTCTTTCTTTCCAAATATTTTCAGTTTTTATGTCACTTTTCAAACATGGCAAAATATAATGTTTATAGCAAAGATACCCGGATTTCCACACATGGCAGGGATGAGGTAAGGTAATACTGTCTTAGAACACACTTTTGCATTGAAGAGAATCCTGCTCAATAAACTTAAGCAAAGGTAGTGTATTAAGTAGATCATGATTTAATGGACTCCAAAATAAAAGCTAAACCTCCGGATACCAGGAAGAGCAGGAGCCAGGCAGTCCTAGGGGCCTCAGCAGCAAACATTCGTGGTTTCTGACTCTCACGGTTCCCCATAAACATGAGACAATGAGTCTGACTGACTTGGTCCAATCTATGTATGAACCGGCTCCTTCAGGCCATGCTGTACCCTTGATCAAATTAGAGTGGTTGTGGATGTTGACCATATGAGAACATATTTCCTTTGAAGGCATGTGAAAGGGAAAGATATATAGCATATACAGTACAATCACTAAAATAATTAAAACTTGGATAGTGCAAAGATAAAAGTTATCACTTGCTTGAAGTACAGCTCTGAAACTTTGGCGCCAATGTTTGAATTAATCTCCTTAAAAGATCAAAGCCCAACACTGGCATCCGGGGTCTTTTTAAAAGGAATTTCATGGATATAATTCAGAAGTCAATATCTAACATACTTTAGCTCCAAATTAAGTTGAATACCATTATGATCAGTAAACACCTCTTGTTGTTACTTATGTATATATGAGAGTAACTAGTAGTAATAATTATTCCTTTAAACTCACTGTATAAACCATTATATATACTTCTTTAGCACTTAATGTAATCTTAATGCTTTTCCAAGTAATTCCAACTAATAAATATATAAATAAAGTAGCAAAATCAGGCCAATAAGGTTTACTGAAAACTTTACTTTTCATTAATATAAGTAAATATGTATTGAAAAACCTCCATGACACCTAATTCTGGAACTATGACAATCAATAATCGTTCCAAACCTGGATATTGTTAAAACTTTAATAACAAATGTGAAGAGGAAAGAATAATCAACATACATGATGGAATATCAGCATCTCAACTTCCAACATCTGAGCCACAAAGGGAGCCTCTGCTCTTTGTTTCACTCAAGTATCATTTCTCAGAATGGTACAACATGGCTTTCTTTCTTCCATGCATAAACATTATTCCCTAGCAGTAATTAAGGATTCAGCTAACATCTGTAGTCTTCCTCCACCTTTACCCCCTTAAGCCTATCCTTGAGTACAGCCACGATGACCCACAAAGATGTTGCTACCTGGCGTAACTTATTCCGTGGCTTTCCCTGGCCTATAAGTTAAGTTGAAGACTTTTGCAGTCTCATAATGCAAATTCCTTCTTGTCTGGCCCATTCTTTCCTCTCCAGATTCTTCTATTCCTACACTCAGCCTTACAATTGTCATTTGGTAATAAGAAAATATCTGTCGCTCCCATTCACTTTATGCTTCTGGGTCTTTTCTTATGCTTTCCCCTCTGATTGGAATATTCCCCTACTCTTTCTTTACCTAACCAATTTCTACTCTCCCATAAAGACTCAGTTCCTGGCTACCTAATCTTAGGAATATTCCCTGAGCCTACCTAATAGGGCTAAAATTTTCCCCTTTGTCATCCTAAAATGCCCCGAAAAACCTCAATCACAGCATTTATGATATTATTTTGAAAGACCAGTTAATGAGTCTATTGCTCCACTAAACTACAGGCTGGTTACATGTTCCACCACCAGTACCTACTGGGAACTTGATATTCTTAGATTTGTTGGACAGAACGGAATTTCTGATACAGTTATCTGCTGATACTGTTTCTGACAACAAAAACGTTAAGCCATTTCATAGGGAATTTGAAACCCCAACAGAAATCAAGAAATTTATAAACTGGTTGTTTTAAAAATATTCAGTTGCTTGAGTAAAGTGAATTTAATCTTTAATTTTTTGTATCAGTCTGCTGCAAGCAAATGTCTGTGCACAGATATAGCACCAGAGCATTTTCTTGGCATGCTAGCTCACTGCCTGGAACCATCTCAACACTTTGCCTAAAGGAAGACAGTGACTGTTCAAGCAGAAGACTTGCTGATGGGTCTCAAGGCATGGTTGAAATGGTGCATTTCGACATTGGAATTTTGTAATCACAACCATCACAAATAATGTGTTTTGGTTCAATTACTCAAATCAAGCAGCACATTTCTGTTGTTCTATATCCTAAATTCCTCACTATTTTATACTTTTAAATGTAATGAGAACATTAATAGAAACTTTATAAATGCTATACTAATGCAAAGGAGAGATCCATATAAGTAAAATAAATAAAGTAGATAGATAAATGTATACATTGATTATTCAGAGAAAATTCTGCGTCCTGCATTACCTGCATCTCTGAGGTCACAGTGATTTTGGAGTTCAACACATCTGAATTGTCCAGATAATTGCTGTAATTTCCCATTTCACTAAACTAATATAAGAATGGCCTTAGGACAATTTTTAAATGAAGAAAACTGAGATGAAACCTAAGAAACAAGGTAAAATTCTACTTTCTTCTTAATGACAAATTAGATTTATAAACTATGCTTTTGTTTTACATTTTGCACACTCTAAAATTACTTCAGGAGAAGTCTCTGTAGAAGAGCATTATTTTCCAATTCAATATCCAATTTTTCAGAGCATTTCAATTATTAGAGAGGAGGTATCTCAGAATTAAACATAGATGAGCATTACAAAATGAGCCCTGTAGCTTTCCTCCCTCTCTGTATTGGTGTGTACTTGTTCATGCTCTCTACCTCGTTTACAGAATCCAGTGATAAAAAGTTTCTCACTTGGTATTATGCGTATCGATGGTATGGAAGAGCTCATGTAATTCTTCCCTGCTCAGAACACCATCTGCAAAATATGCTTTGAATTCTTCAAAGGATAATTTTCCGTCATCTGAAATGGTAAGAACAAACAGAAGAGAAGCACATCATTTCAACTTTGTACATTGTTTTATCTTTTAATTTTTAAAACCTTGCTCAAATGTTTGTGCAGGTTTATTTGTGCATGCACACACATGTATTCAAAAATAAAGAATAATTCAAGGGTTTAAAAAGAAAAATAATTTAATGTACGTTTATAGTACATACTGTAGATGTATACACCCTGATGAACTATGTCTACGTGGTTTGGAGTATTTTTTGGTTCATTTATTCATATGGCAAACATTTGACAAGCAATTTAACTGGCCATACCAAATAAAAGACCAAGACAGAGACAATTATTTAGATGTTTTGCCTGCATATACAGGATCCAGCATATTGCAGAATAAATAGTGTATGTTTACTAAGTGTATATTGATTGAATAGTTGCTAATGTGTGAATATCAGAATTATTACAGTCCAACAAGCTGTGTTCATCTACTTACTCATTAAATAAACACTTTTTAAGCCAAACACATTTCACTTATTGTGAGATACATAAGTGAAAGACAATGAGGGAGTCTAATAAAAGACATAAGATGTGCAGACATACGTATAAGTATGTTACACAGTAAAACACAGTAAGTGCAATGACAGACACAATATGGAATGTATGAGAATTGGGGTAATAAAAGATCCTTTCATTAGGGGACATGAAGAGTTTTAGTGACTTTTGTACCTGACTTTGAACAACAGGTAAATTCTAGATATGTAGAGATGGAAGAAACACATTAATAATAGATGAAAGTAAAAGATTTGTACAAGACACAGCAGCAGAGAATCTAAGGGAGGGAATAGACATGAAGTGAGAGGAAAGCACCTTCTCTCCTTGCAAGGAGCTGCCTTGTCAGTTACCTCACGTAAGAGGCCAAATGACTGCAAGGGGTGAAATTATTCTCTCCATTTACAAAGACGCAATTGAGGTCTAAGGAGAAAGTTGCCCAGTGTCACAAAACTCCTAAGTGTGGTCCTACTGTACTGAACAAAGTAAAATTTGTCTTTGAGTAGAAAGTAATTTAATGTGACTGGATCTTCAAGGTTCATTTAGAGCAATTTTTTCCCTCAAAAGATGGCCCATAGACCACCTGGAGAACTGTTAAAATTCAGATTCTTGGGCCAGAGAATCAGAATCTCACAGTGGCATGGAGGGGTCGGTAGACAAGAAATCAGGATTTTTAACAACCTGTGTGATTCCTCCTTACACTAATGCTTGAGAGGTATTATTATAAAGCACAAAATAGGCCTAGTCACTGAATTACTTAATTTTTCAGATAGGGATTTAAAGGCTGTAACATTTCAAAAATCTTTGTTTGCAAAATATAGATATAAAGACCCCTGAGAGTTTTAAATTTGTGTTTCATTTCGCTTTTTAACTTAATAGGTATATTAAACTAACTTTCCAATTAATTCTCACCAACAGTTAACTGGCCAGACATAGACTTAGAGGTCTTAAAAATACCTCTCTGGCCCATGGCTCTGCTGCAGCCCAGAGGAGGCAAGTGAAATAAAGCAGGACCAAACAGTGGTAGAGCTGTAAGTCTGGGTGAACCAGCTCCTGGCTGCTATAAAAGCCCATAACACTGCTGCAGTCCCTAAGGAGGGAGCGGATCTAGGTGGGTCTGTGGGAGCAGGCAGCAGCAACCTGAAATCCCTGTGTGTGAGTGTTCCCAAAGTCTACAGGAGACCACACAGGGCCACTGCAATCCCAAGGAGTGGCCTAGCCTCAGTCAGAAACAGCTGACAGGGATTCTCGTGGGCATAGATTACACAGCTCCTGCCCCCTCCCACCCAGTGCCAGCAAGTGGAAGCAGTAACCAAACTCTGTCTCTATGCAGATGCACAAATACACATCATTAAGCAGTATGAAAAAATATATTAAATCTCCAGAACAGAAGGAAAACGAAAAGTACCCAGAAAACAATCCCAAAGACACAGAAATCTATAACCTAAATGACAAAGAATTCAAAATAGCTATCATTAAAAAACTCAATGAGTTAAAAGAAAATACAGATAGACAACTTAACGAGTTCAAATGCTATGTCACAAAAGAGCTCAATACTATAAAGAACAACCAATCAGAAATGTTGGAGATGAAAAACACAGAGGAGGAGATTAAGAAACATATGGACTCCCTAAATAGTAGGGCTGATAATATGGAGGACAGAATTAGCAGTCTGGAGGAGAGGAATATAGAAATGCTTCAGATAGAGGAGGAGAGAGATCTAAGACTAAAAAGAAATAAAGAAACTCTCTGAGAAATATCTGACTCAATTAGGAAAGGCAACATAAGGATTATAGGTATCCTAGAGGGAGAAGAGAAAGAGAATGGAGCAGAAAGCTTGTCCAAAGAAACAATAGCTGAGAACTTCCAAAACCTGGGAAGGAGCTGGAAATCCATGTGACAGAAGTGAATAGATCTCCAAATTTTATCAATGTAAAAAGACCAACCCCAAGGCATACAGTAGTGAAGATGGCAAAAGTCAATAACAAAGATAAAATATTAAAGGCAGCAAGGCAGAAGAAAATAACCTACAAAGGAAGCCCTATCAGGCTATGAGCAGATTTCTCAGCAGAAACCTCACAGGCTCAGAGAGCGTGGAATGATATATTCAGAATTCTGAAAGACAAAAACTTTCAGCCAAGAATACTCTATCCAGCAAAAATATCCTTCAAATATGATGGAGAAATGAAAACTTTCCCAGATAAACAAAAGTTAAGGGAGTTCATCGCCACAAGACCCCCAATGTAAGAAACGTTCAGGAAGATCCTCATACGTGAAAGAAAAAGGGGGGCAGTTACAAAACCCCTGAGTAAGGAGATAAGTAGAAAGACAAAATCAGAAAGTTGCAGGTCTCCATCAGAACAGGTTAGTAAATGTGTAAGTATAACATTAAAGATAAAGGGAAGGGAAACACCAAGAATAAATATAATCTTGTCATTTTAACCACAAACTCACAACACAAGAAGAAAAAAAGATGTTACAATAACAACTTAGAAGGGGAAGAGGAAAGAGATGGATCCAGCTTAATCTAAGGAAATAAGAGGCTATCAGAAAATGGACTATCTCATCTATGAGATGTTTTATACAAACCACATGGTAACTACTAAACAAATATCTAGAACAGAGACACAAATTACAAATAAGGAGAAAACTAAGAAAACCAACATAGAAAACTACCTAACTGAATTGGTAGTCTGAAATAGATGGGATGAGAAAGAAAGGAATGCAGGAGAACCAGAAAACAAGTGATAAAATGGCAGCATTAGGCCCCCACATTTCAATACTCATTCTAATTGTAAATGGATTGAATTCTCCAATCAAAAGACACAGAGTGGCAGGATGGATTAAAAAACAAGACTTAACAATATGCTGCCTCCAGGAAACACATCTCAGCCCCAAAGACAAACACAGACTCAGGGTGAACTAATGGAAGATGATACTCCAAGCTAATAGCAAACAGAAGAAAGCAGGTGTCACCATACTTATATCAGACAATGTAGACTTCAAGGCAAAACAGGTAAAGAGAGACAAAGAGGGGCAGTATATAATGATAAAAGGGACACTCCACCAAGAACACACAACACTTATAAATATATATGCACCCAACAAAGGAGCATCAAAGTACATAAAGCAACTATTAACAAAACTAAAAGGAGATATCAACAACAATACAATAATATTAGGGGACCTCAACGCCCCACTAGCACCAGTGGATAGATCATTCAGACAGAAAGTCAATAAGGAAATTGTAGAACTAAATGAAAAACTAGGCAAGATTGACTTAATAAATACATATAGAACACTCCATCTAAAAACAGCAGGTTACACATTCTTCTGAAGTGCACATGGAACATTCTCAAGGATAGACCATATGTTGGGAAACAAAGCAAGCCTCAATAAGTTTAAGGGGATTGAAATAGTATCAAGCATCTTTTCTGACCATAATGCTATGAAACTAGAAATCACTTACAAGAATAAAGCTGGGAAATGGGCAAAGATGTGGAGATTAAACAATATGCTACTGAATGACAAATGGATCATTGAAGAAATCAAAGGAGAAATCAAATATTATCTGGAGACAAATGAAAATGAAAATACACCATACCAACTCATTTGGGATGCAGCAAAAGCAGTCCTAAGAGGGAAATTCATTAGAATACAGGCTCACCTCAATAAACAAGAAAAGTCTCAGATAAGCAATCTCAAATTACACCTAACAGAATTAGAAAAAGATGAACAAATAAAGCCCAAAATCAGTAGAAGGAGGGAAATAATAAAAATCAGAGCAGAAATAAGTGAAATTGAAATAAAAAAGACAGTAGAAAGGATCAATGAAACAAAGAGCTGGTTCTTCAAGAAAATAAATAAAATTGACAAACCCTTAGCCCAACTCACTAAGAAAAAACAGAGAAGACTCAAATAAATAAAATCAGAAATGAACGAGGAGAAATCACAATGGATACCACAGAAATACAAAAGATTACAAGAGAATACTATGAAAAACTATATGTCAACAAATTGGACCACCTAGAAGAAATGGATAAATTCTTAGACTGTTACAACCTCCCAAAACTGAATCAAGAAGAAATAGAGACTCTGAATAGACCAATCACAAGTGAAGGGATTGAAACAGTAATCAAAAACCTCCCCCAAAATAAAAGTCCAGGACCAGACGGCTTCTCTAGAGAATTCTACCAAACATTCAAAGAAGATTTAATACCTATCCTTCTCAAACTATTCCAGAAAATTGAGGAAGATGGGGTACTTCACATTCTACGAGGCCAACATCACCCTGGTCCCAAAACCAGACAAGGACAACACAAAGAAGGAAAACTACAGGCCAATATCATTGATAAACATAGATGCAAAAATCCTCAACAAAATATTGGCAAACAAAATACAGTAATATGTTAAAAAGATCATACACCATGATCAAGTGGGATTTTTATCAGGGACATAGGGATGGTTCAACA